TTTCGCAATAAAAAATCTCGTCTTTAAAAAAAAAAAAAAAAACAAACGCTATTTTTCGAATTTAAAGAAATTCTTTTATTATTAATAATTCTCGTAATATAATTTATAGAATTATTAGACTATTATTATTAGACTATTATTATTAATTATTCTCGTAATATAATTTATAGAATTTCGAAAATTATTTAATTAAAAAGTGACATAAATTTTCTAACAGAAAAATATATGTTTTGTCGATACAATATGAGATAAATTAAAGTATAGGTATAATATTATTACTCAGCAGAAATAAGTTGATAAATACGTTATGTATAGGCTTTTTGTACCTTTTATACGAGAAACAGATGCTGCTCATTCCGACGAAAGTAAGGTTTTAGATTGGAAAGTCCCACGCGAAATTCAATTTCATCCAATCAAATACGCGACGCCTTCCTAGTCAATTCTCTCTATACAACCTTCATTCAACTCTCGATAGAACGTTAATCGATCAAACAGCAACGCATTGTTACTGATCTATTAAAGTATATAACAAAAAATTCAATATTTCCTCCATATGTTAGAAATTTTATAGGATTATCTTTTTTATATTTATAATTAATGAAATATTAACCAAACACAAATAAATCGGGCATCAAATTCGACAATATTACACTATCGTATATTAAAAATGGAGTGTAATTGTACTCTATTCAACGTTGCATCTCTAATGGTTCGAAATCACATTTTCATTTAGATTTTAAACATTTTGAAATATTACGCAAGTGTAATATTTTAACGTTTCGAAAATAACACGATGTATTTTTTTATACATGTTTGCACGAAACATCATGTCGATGATCGACGATGTTACAAAATTGATTTTATAAAAAACATTCGACAGACAATCCTAATAAACCCTGGATGGCATTGGATGCTTCGTCCGCCACTGTAGTCAACGAATTTAATCCTCGGGATCCTTCCGTACTTGTTAGCGGCCTAATGTCAGGTCAAGTTTGCAGCTGGGACATCAGAACTGGTACTTCTCCGGTCCAAATGTCTCATCGTCAATTCAGTCATAGGTAATCTCGACATGAACATGCCTGGTCGTGCGCGACATGGGAACTTCGTATTTCATAATTCAGTACTCAGAGCGCCCTGTTCTTGGTCTGGTCGAAAATGCGTTTCGAGTTTGCGGTTGTGCACGACAAGATGATGAATGAATAAAATGTTGTCCCTGCCGTGCTTCCGACCTCAATTAAGTTTCAGTTCGTTTTTACGCAACGTTCATCATGTCGCGCGTAATTTGTCTTTTAATGCTAAAATAAAATAATTCAGTTGCCCGCAAGCGTGACAAAGAATAATTTAAATTTTCCTATTCACACAACCGTATAATTAATTTATGAGAGATACATGTTCAATATATAATCCTTTCTTTTCCAAGGGATTTCGCGACAGTAGTAAAGTGGATCGCTACTAAGAGCAATACGGAGTTCTTCTCAGGCTCTTCGGACGGCAGTGCCATGTGGTGGGACACTAGAAAGTTGCGAAGACCAACCGAAATTCTCATGTTCGATCTCCAAATGCCAAACGAACCGAATATGGATCGGGCGATCGGTGTCGCGTCAGCTGACTATGAACCTAGTGTAGGCATGAAGTTTATGTTTGGGCTGGAAAACGGTGTCGTGATCAGCGGTTCGAAAAAAGCGAGAACTCCAGCCGAAAAACTGGCTCTCAGGTTCAACGCTCATTATGGTCCAGTTCTTTCCGTCGATCGCAGTGGTTTCAATCCGAAGATTTTTTTGACAGTCGGCGACTGCACATCTCGCGTCTGGGCGGAGGATACCAAGGACGACAGTCTTGTATCGACAAGGTATTTTTATTTTATTTGAGACGAAACGATCGAAAAAAATATTTGAACTACAAAAATAGTAATTTCAGAATTTGGTGAAGAACCTTCTTAAAAAAGATGCTACCAATTGATATTTTTGTTCTATAAATGACGCTGCATCTTGAAGAATATAGAGTTTTGAAAATAATCACTCTCGGCTAAAATTATCTTTCTAAATCGAGAGTATTGATCCCTATAAGAATATAAATAAATAAAATCAACATGTATTAAAATTGCATGTCAATTAGTACGGTAAATTAAACAATCGATAACTGATGAGCCTGAAATTTTTATCACTCAATTATTTATCCTTAGATTCATAATAGAGGATCCTGTCTGTGGTTGCTGGAACAAAACAAGACATTCAATATTTTATGTGGCGACACGTATCGGTGTGTTAACTGTGTGGGATCTTCTGATGGGTCTGCGCGATCCGATTTTGACGGTGAAGCTTTGTGAGCAAAAATTAACTGCAGTCGCATCACACGAAACAGGAGCTTTATTGGCCGTCGGAAATTCCGCCGGCAATGTTTACCTCGTCGAGTCGACGGAAGCATTATATACGTTCGATAAAAATGAAAGGAACGATCTCACGTCGGTGAGTGATGGACGATTTGTCTTTTTGGAAATATGTAATATCAATTTGCGAGAAATGAAACAAGTAACACATGCTAGATAGACATTGGAAAATCAATAATGATGTTATGAGATATAATGTTATCCCGTTGACAATATTATTTGTAAAATAAAAATATAACAAGAT